TTGACCCATTTGGTGGGCACTGTGACTTTTTGTATTATTTTGTCCCTTTCCATGTTTTTGAGCTCCACTTTAAGGCGATCTCTGAGGGCAAAGGGTACTCTTCTTGGTGGGCAAACGACTGGTGAGATATTTGAATCAACTCTGAAACTGCACTCCCCCTGGAATTCTCCAATTCCTTTGAAAACGTCCGAGAACTCACTTGTGATGTCATGTGACATGGTGGGTTGCTCAGCTTCTGTGTTTTCTGTTATTGCATAGACAACTTTTATTAGACCAAGAGCTTTGCATGCTTTGAAGCCTAATATTGGTGGACCATTGCAAATCAACAACGTGGAATGTCTGTTCGGTTATTTTGTCTTTATATCTGCTTGTCAGTTCACATTGTCCATTGACTTTGAGAGGGTGGCCCCCATAGCCAAACAGTTTATCTTTGTCCTCCTTTAATGGTGCTTTTAGATATGCAAAAGCACTGAGAGGTATGATGTTTGCTTGTGCCCCTGTGTCTAGCTTGAATGTTAGTTTTACCTTGTTTGAACCCAGTAGTATGTCAGCGAATGCACTGTCTTCATTGTCGTCTCCAGCTGCTATAGTGTCTATGAACAGCTCTGAATCAGAATCATCCACTTCTTGGACAGTGTGCACCTCTTTGTGCCCTGATTGTCTTTCAAAGTTTGGTTTTGACTTGCAAACTTTTGCATAGTGATTGAATTTTTTACATTTCAGACACTGCTTTCCTTTAGCTGGACAATCTGCACGTTTCTCGTGGAGTCCACCACACGCTGGGCAAACTTTGCTTTGGTACCTTGCGTTTTTTCATTTGTTTTGTAGGTTCGTGCTGGGGTCACTGGTTTCCCTCCTCTACGACGTATAGCATGTACTTCATGGTTGTCGTTAGCCATGGCTTTCAGCTGTGATTTGGCTAGCTCATGGGCGCGGGCTATATCTATGGCTTTGTCAAGTGTTAGCTCCGGTCCTTGATTGAGTAGCTTTTCTCTGACATGTGGGGAGTTGGTTCCAAACACTATGCGGTCCCTGACCATTTCGTCGCTTTTGTCATAGCCACAGTCTTTAACGAGGAGTTTCAGATCTGTTACAAAATGTTCAAAGGACTCACCGCTATCTTGTGTTTTTTCATGGAACTTATATCTGGCAAATATGGGGTTTGCTTTTGGGGTTAGATATGCGGAGAAACCATCATAATACGTTGCTAGGAGTTTAGCATTATCTTCACTGAGAGACCACGTGTTACTTATGTCCCGTCCTTTGTCCCCGATCCACAACAGTAGAAAACTGCATTTTTGTTCCTCTGACCTACTTTTGAGTGGTCCGGAAAACATTAATTCAACATGTTGTTTGAAACGGCGCCATGCATCGGGTAGGTTTGACGATTCCCAGTCCATTCTCGGAGCAGGTACGCCATAAGCCTCCATCTTCTTTTTTCTTTTTATTCCCCTTTTCTCAAGTTATAGAAGGTCCGTGGTTCGGTAGGTCACTCTGACACCATGTTGTGCCTGGCTAACAGTGAACAAAGTAATGTCCATTCACTCTTTGTGTTCGTTTATTCACACACCCAACCGGTACCTCTCAAGCCCCGGCGATCCAAGATGGCGCCCTATTCAAATGAATGGTTGTGCTCAGTGGTGCTTTGTGACAGCATGGGGGCTGAAAGATTAGCGGAAGTTGCCTGAAACTCGCAAAGATCTATGGGAAACTCGCCTGTATTTGGGCATCGTCTGGTCCTCCCGGTTCTGTGCAGTGGATGATCTCCCATAATGCGTTGCGCCAAACACGCGTGTGTGGGTCTCACACCGGGTCTCACGCACGTGCACAGAGGGGCTCGGCCGCGCTCTGACCAATCAGAGCAGTTCATCAGAGCGGGAGTTAGAGCGAGAGCCAGACGAGCAGAGTTTGTGGCACTAAAGTGTGGATTTAAACAAAACCGAAGGATTTAAGAAGAAAAAAAGTTCAGGATGACAAGGGACACTAAAATCCCCACAAAATCCGATCTTTATTAAAGCTGTAGGTTCTCTGTCAGGTTCTCTGTCATGTTATCTGTCAGCTGAGGTCGAGCTGTTTTAATATGCATTGAGTTCTATGGGGAAATTTCTGGGTAGCCCACGTGAATTTAGTCTGGTTCAGTCTGGTTCAGTCTGCAGTACCGAGAGAATCCCCTGAGCACGTGAGTTATTCAGCTACAAGCTAGTAATACCCTATCCAGTTAATATAATACATCCATGGTACCTCTTGACATTGCGTATAGTATATCTGCTAACGTTTTTTGCACATACCGTTTCCGGTGGGTACTTATGGCCTTCAAAATAAGAGTCTTTTCAAAATAATGTTACAGAACATTACATCATCTACACAAAACAAAGATATTTTTTTTATTTTAATCTTGAGAGAACGGCAAGACACTTAACCCTGCATTGCCTGAAGTCCCCGCTGAAAAATCAAGGCTGTATTGTCACTGACAGAGCAGCCGTCCTCCTGTGGACTCACCACCTGCAGAGGATCAGTGGGGGCTGGTGCTAAGTGAATTGGGTGCAGCTCTGACTGCCACCCCCCCGACCCAGAAATGGATTAAGGGGAAGAAGATGGATGGATGGATGGATTGAGAGAAAGGCTTCAGAGGAGGGCGCTAATCTCAATCTTTCTTCAAATGCTTTGAGTTTCACTGCTGCCTCCTCTGGTAAATGTCTCACCAGGGCATCCGCAATCATTTTAAATTCACTGTCCAAAAAGAACCATCACAGATTAGATGTTGCAGTGCACACTGAAATATTTCCATTAATATTTAAAATCTTACCATGGTTCATACTTTGGCCCCTTTTTGAGTTTTCCAATTGCCTCTTGCAATGGGTTAGGGTAAGTTACACACGTGAGCGTGTTCCCTGCTTCAGCACTGGAGCTTGATTTAACTGAAAGCAGACATAAACATAGATTTGTGCACACTCAGAAACACACATGTCTTGTAACATCATCCAATAACTATGGTCAGTGACTTCTGTGATCGGAAACATCGTGAGCTACGTTGCATAATTGACTAACTAATTTTCCACTGTTCTTGGAAAACATGTAAAAAGTTATGTTTTTCCTCTTGTTGCCATTTTAACGATGCAAAATGACTTGGGCAATTATTCTATGTGCCTAACGACATGTTGATGGCACATGGACTCTCAGAAGAAACTCATATGAATTGCTTTCTCTGCAATGTATTAGTTCACTTCTTATAAAACATTTCTAATCAGGATGATGTGCATTTATTCATGAATACACTGTAACTTCTGTGACGGCCTAAAAATAAATAAAACACGTTGTTAGTTGTCACTGACTGTTTGCGTACGGTCTGCCATGTCTTCTCCGAGTTTTCGACGGATATTCTTGCAGAATTCCACTTGGTTTAACTTCATTGGTGTAGTGGGCGTGTCTTGCAGTGACGTCCACGACACGCCTCTGTCTTGCAGGCTGCAGACAGACCCTTCTCTCACGCCTCGCTCGACCCACACTTATTAAAGAATTCCCCTTGATTACTCGGTACAGGCTTTGAAGACTCGGCTCAGCACATCACTCTCCACCATAGACTGTACCTCTCCACACAGCACAGATGTAAGAACAAAGCTTTAAACCTCTTTTATTCACCACTAACAGACTGTGGGCCTCGGGAATCCAGCTTTAAGTTTGTCTGTGTCTCTCTCACATCTTGGCATTTCCTCCTGCAGTAAACGAGCTCATCTAACCCATAACTTATTACACCTAACCTTAAACTAATGAACTGTTATTAGCCCTAACCGTGACCTGACGGTGATTACCGACAATAATCACTCATTTATCTGTGAATATTTCCCTCTGCTCGGGACGAAATGCCGAGATTTGAGTCAAACCCGCCCCCAGTCGGAGCCTGATGCTAATGCTAATGCTAATGCTAATGCTGATGCTAGTGCTAATGCTAATGCTAATGCTAATGCTAGTCGTTAGCTTGACTCGGGTCTGTTTCGTGTTTTCGTGTCCTCAACAGTGGTGGGAATAACATATTTTGCTGTAGCCAAACAAATTGTCCAGTTGATTTCTATGATATATATGTTAATCTGATTGGGCTGAAGTCAGTGCTTGGTGTTTCCACATTCACAGTGGAGCGTGTTGGTGTTAAGTGCTTACAGCACAGAGACAGATGAAGAAAAACACACTTTTCTACATGGAAATATTGGCACTATTTCAGACTCACTGAGGTTAAAGGTCAACATGTGCACGTCGAGTGCACATTATGTTCCAGAACAAAACGAAAAAGTAACGCAATAGTTACTTTTACTGGTAACTAGTTACTTTTATAAAGGAGTAACTCCGTTAGTAACTCAGTTACTTTTTGGGAGAAGTAACTAGTAACTATAACTAATTACTTTTTCAAAGTAACGTGCCCAACACTGGTCCTCAAACCGTGAACGTGTTTCCTGTCAGCTGCAGACAACATTCATTGACGTGAGTTTGTAAAGGACGTGGATGGAAATGTATTTATTGGACTGGAACAAATACATATCTTCATCCACTTCTCTTCATGCGCTCACAAGTGTCTCTGTTGTGTTTAGCCTCAAATGTAGCTGTGCATCATCATCATTCTTCTTTAAATCATTCATTTAAAGAGAACATAGAACAGTACAATACAAATACAATGAAATAAAATAATCAAAATGGGACAAGCCTAGTAGAATTCATCTTAATGTTGTTTTTCCATATTCACCATTTCTGCTTTAATAGAATCTTTCAGTCGTAGTTTCTGGGTTTTCTTTTCCATCTGAAAAATGTTGTTGATCAGTGAAGCCCATTGGTCCTTAGAAAGTACTGTGTTTGTGTTCAAGTCCCTTGGTATTGTTGTTTTTTCAGCCAAAGACATATTTTTGATATTTTGATAGTATTTGTGTCGTAGATTTAAAATAGTGTAATGTGACATAATTCTCTTTAAATCAGACGCATAACTTTCTCTGGAGAAATGTGCAAAGTGGTTTAGTATGAGGAGGGACCAGGAGGAGAGAGGAGGGACCAGGAGGAGAGAGGAGGGACCAGGAGGAGAGAGGAGGGACCAGGAGGAGAGAGGAGGGACCAGGAGGAGAGAGGAGGGACCAGGAGGAGAGAGGAGGAGGGACCAGGAGGAGGAGAGAGAGGGACCAGGAGGAGAGAGGAGGGACCAGGAGGAGAGAGGAGGGACCAGGAGGAGAGGGGAAGGACCAGGAGGAGAGGGGAAGGACCAGGAGGAGGAGAGAGAGGAGGGACCAGGAGGAGAGGGGAAGGACCAGGAGGAGAGGGGAAGGACCAGGAGGAGGAGAGAGAGGAGGGACCAGGAGGAGAGAGGAGGGACCAGGAGGAGAGAGGAGGGACCAGGAGGAGAGAGGAGGGACCAGGAGGAGAGAGGAGAGAGGAGGGACCAGGAGGAGAGAGGAGAGAGGAGGGACCAGGAGGAGAGAGGAGAGAGGAGGGACCAGGAGGAGGAGGAGGAGGAGGAGAGAGGAGGGACCAGGAGGAGGAGAGAGGAGGGACCAGGAGGAGGGAGAGAGGAGGAGGGAGAGGAGGGACCAGGAGGAGGAGAGAGGAGGGACCAGGAGGAGAGAGGAGGGACCAGGAGGAGCGAGGAGGGACCAGGAGGAGAGAGGTAGGGCTGGGCGATTAAGGCAAAAAAAAAAAAAATCTGATTTTATCACACCAAATCGATTTTAATCGATTATTATTTTCTATTTAAAAACAAACAACTGACAAATAGATTTTCCTTCATGCAGTTTAATCTAAATGTCCCCATGGAGGGGAGTCTAAACCAAAGACTGTATATATTAAAGTGATTGTCTGGAGTTTTTCAGAAAGAGAGAGAGGTACTTGATTTGAAGAAAAAAAAACGACGCAAGCTCCTCCCCCTTCCTTCCTGATTGGTCTACACCTACGTTTCCTTAACACTTTTAAATGTTAATAAGAGAACACATTAGACATATACATTATTAATACATTATTTGTTAACGTTTTAATGAAAAAAATGTTTTTATTCAGCAAAAAAAGCGATCGCGGCAAACCAGGAACAAGCTATTATCATGAATTGCACATTATTGGACACATCTGCAGAGGATCTGATTATGGATATAGGTTCAGTGTATAAATGATTATGGATATAGGTTCAGTATATAAATGATTATGGATATAGGTTCAGTATATAAATGATTATGGATATAGGTTCAGTATATAAATGATTATGGATATAGGTTCAGTATATAAATGATTATGGATATAGGTTCAGTATATAAATGATTATGGATATAGGTTCAGTATATAAATGGTTATGGATATAGGTTCAGTATATAAATGATTATGGATATAGGTTCAGTATATAAATGATTATGGATATAGGTTCAGTATATAAATGATTATGGATATAGGTTCAGTATATAAATGGTTATGGATATAGGTTCAGTATATAAATGGTTATGGATATAGGTTCAGTATATAAATGATTATGGATATAGGTTCAGTATATAAATGATTATGGATATAGGTTCATATATAAATGATTATGGATATAGGTTCAGTATAAAAAATGATTATGGATATAGGTTCAGTATATAAATGATTATGGATATAGGTTCAGTATATAAATGATTATGGATATAGGTTCAGTATATAAATGATTATGGATATAGGTTCAGTATATAAATGATTATGGATATAGGTTCAGTATATAAATGATTATGGATATAGGTTCAGTATATAAATGATTATGGATATAGGTTCAGTATATAAATGATTATGGATATAGGTTCAGTATATAAATGATTATGGATATAGGTTCAGTATATAAATGATTATGGATATAGGTTCAGTATATAAATGATTATGGATATAGGTTCAGTTTATAAATGATTATGGATATAGGTTCAGTATATAAATGATTATGGATATAGGTTCAGTATATAAATGATTATGGATATAGGTTCAGTATATAAATGATTATGGATATAGATATAGATGATAGATGCTTTATTGATCCCCCGAAGGAGAAATTCAGGTGTCCAGTAGTAGCAAAAATAAAAAATAAAATTGTGGCGGCATCGTGGATTCTGAATATAGCTAAGAGAAGGGAACCTGTAATATTAGAATTAATAAAATGACTTATTTTATATCAATATTAAAGGCCAGGAGGTCAATTTAACACATTTCCTAAAATGTGTAATTCATTTAGAGTTACAGACTATCACTTTAACGGACGTAGTCACTCCTATCTCCGCAGTTCTAACTAATGGGCCAAAAATTGGGCTTTCATGGTGTGATTCAAAATGGCCACAGGGGCTGGAAAATGTGAAAAAACACATCTGCACATGCGTCAGTCGGCGAGAGCTCCATTCATTTAAACGAGTGACTTCAAAAGTCCACAGCGAGTAAACTAGACTGGTCCAAAACACCCCCCTCAGCATTGACACACATGTGGACCGGAGCTTTGGGCCAAGAGCCGACTTTTGGACCATCCAGTAAAGGTGTTTTCGAGAGGTAAGCTAATGCTATATGTTAGCATTGGCTAATTCTTATTCCGGGTCCACCCCCATCGGCCCGGGGTGGTATTGCAGCATGTCAGCGCACGTCATTTTGGCCACTTTTGAGCTGGGACCCGCCCCCACTGCTTAAAACATACTTGTAAAAGAGATGGCCCTGCCTTTGTAAACAGTGAATCAATCCTTTATTATCTCACAGATTCAGAAATTCAGTTCGATGAATAAACATCAAGGCTGGCTGCGTAATCTAATAATATTTCTGCGCTCCTTATGACAGTTATTCAACAGCACTTATTTCAACAGACATTATTGGATGGAAACGGTACATGCGGAAAAAGCATACGGGTCTTTTTAAAGGGACATTGTCACTCTGACCCGCCTCGTCCAATATGGCGTGTCAGAGGGGGAGGGGGAGTGTGGGTGGGGGAGGTGGAGGGGAAGACCACCATAGACTGAAGACATGTAGAGTGAGGGGTGAGCCAAACAACCGGTGTACTGAGACTGTGAATTATGAGAGTCCGTCTACAAAACAGAAACTTCCGTACAGAAAAAGTGTGTTATTCTTAATTCTGAATCGGAGACTCCTCAGCTCATATTTATCGCTATTGTTTTTCCCCGGTTTCATATTATTTTTCCACCAAAACAATTTGATTTTTGACCCTGAAGACATGCACGAGAGTCTGCACATGGGGGGTCTAAAACGACCGGTTCGGCGAAACATTTGATACAATCAACGTTTCCAGATTGTTCGACAAACGCCAACACGATTTCGGAGCCAGGAATGCATATTTTGGAGTAGGGACACATGTCCACTAACTCCTTGTGAAAAGTATTAACAAAAATCACCGCAATAAACGTGTGATTTAAAAAAAAAACAAATCTTTCTTTTGCATCGCCCCCCCGCGCTCCCCCCCCTCGAATGAATTCCCGACGGAAACACTGCCTGGTGTAATCCTGGTTCATCATATCCTGTTTTGTGTCCCCATGACGGCTCCGGAAAAAGTTAATCTCTTGCTTTGCCGCATGCATCGGGTCTCCGTGTCCACTGCCTCTCCCGCCTCGCACATGCTATGCCTCGCACATGCTATGCCTCGCACATGCTATGCCTCGCACATGCTATGCCTCGCACATGCTATGCCTCGCACATGCTATGCCTCGCACGGACGTGCATAACCATTGACACGGCATTGAAAAACAATCTTAGTTGTTGTTTTAGCATTTCCCAGAAAGTTTTGCGGTTTGTAGTCAGCTGTGATAGGTTGAGAATAGGCCTGTCGCGATAGTCAATAAATCAATTAATCGCACGATAAATAAAATTTGCTCAATAACTTTTCTGGCCGCGATAAATCCCATTTGCATGCTCATTTGTTTTCCCCGTCTCTCTCTCCCCCTCGCTCTCGGGTCAGAGAGCCGCAAAGTGGTCACGGGAACATTAGCGGTCTAGCAAGCAGACGGAAATTACTCAAAAATACAAAATACAGCCAAAACAGGACCTAAACCAGGACTTAACCAGGATTGACTATGGGGGACACAGTAGTTGTGAACATATGCCGGCAGCTGAGCTCTCATTCAGGCTTGATTAGTGACTATACTAGCGCAGCTAGCGTTAGCGTGTTTGCCGATGCAGAAGTACCGTACCGTACCAATAAAATAAACTTATGGCGCACCTCCGTGAACACGTACTGCTGTTATATAAGGTCTCTAGAAGGTCTCTGAACACAGAGATGCTGCAGACTTGCATTCTTGGAGTAGAACTTTACACAAAAAACCCGCTAGCTTAGCTGTTAGCATCAAAGCCCGCCCCGCTACTTCCGGTGGGCGCTACCGCAGCAGGACTTCTGTACGCCCCATTGGTGAACCCACATGTCAGTCACTTGTCATTCGCCCTGGTGTGTGGGGAGGTGGGACTACTGGCGTAGCCCACAGAGTGCAGCTGAGGAGCCGCAAGAGAAGTTTACCGGTAGGCACTACGCAGAGAGAAAGCGGTAGGCACTACGCAGAGAGAAAGCGGTAGGCACTACGCAGAGAGAAAGCGGTAGGCACTACGCAGAGAGAAAGCGGTAGGCACTACGCAGAGAGAAAGCGGTAGGCACTACGCAGAGAGAAAGCTAGTTGCGAGTGCGGGACAAAACGATGGAATTGGTTTCCAAGCCAAACGCGACAGCTGCAGTGTGGGAGCATTTCGGATTTAAACCGAATGCCCGTGGTGAACCACTGAACATGTGCGAGTCGGTGTGTCGCATTTGTTGGAAAACAGTAGCAGTTAAAAGCGGCAACACAACAAACTTACATATGCATCTACAACACAATCAGTTTATTGTGTTCTACCGTTAAATATTCGTTAAAAATAAAAGTTTATTTCTCTTTGAAAAGGTGGTACCTGCATTATCATTGTAATCGATGATCTCAGAACGACAATATAATCGCTTATCGCAATAATTTCTGAGACAATTAATCGTCCAGCAAAATTTGTTATCGTGACAGGCCTAGTTATATGTTCCACCAAAAGCATAGTCTTCAATTAAACCTGCGTCTCGGAAATAAGAAGTCCTAACACCAGTCATCTGATGGGTTAGCTACCCGGTTTCATTCTGTAGCACTTGTTTACACTTACAGTGGTTTAGTCCAATTGTAGCACTTTAGCCTGCGTGTTTTTCATTGTAGCACCATTACTCTCGTGTTTTCAATGTACCACTTTACACTGTGAATTTAATCAATCGTGACACTTTTAATTACTCTGTGGTTTCACCAGCTGCGTGGACCAGCATCTTTAACTTCTCTTTTCGCGCCCCCAGATCAGACACAAAATAGTCCTCTGTTCTGGAACCGCGAATAACTAAGTGAGCTTACATTAATTTTGCGAACTAATTGCAAATAATGAAATGTGCGTGACCCTAACACTTACAAATATGGTTCTAATTTGTCAACAAACTCTTCCCTTAAAAGATTAGGCGCTAAACCAAGTTCATAGCGCTCTGTGCCCCATTCAAAACACAGGGTTGGAAAGGTTCGACCTGGATCTAAGAGCAAGCTATCTCCTACTGCTAACACCAAGAACTACTTCTTTTATCCCTGAAAAATCTCCTAGTAGAGGGGCGCCTCTCCTAGTTGCTGACCACAAATACTGC